TGATCACACATATATGTAACAAAAATAATTGGAGAGGAAGAAAAAATATTTGTCGTATAACCATGTGTTCGACGTTCGTTTCTTTTCTCTTCTGTCTATCCGTAAATTACAGTCATATGTAACTATACTTTTCTGTTCAACAGAACGCGAACGTTATCAATTTTAAATCAACGATCTTAAATTAAACTTAAATTTGATTGTTTAACTACGTTAATCGATTAAGTAAGTTGTAATTTCCTCATTTAAAATGATTAGTAGTGGATGCTTTTTTTCTGACCATTGTGATGAAGTTTCTTGTTCAGGGCAAGAAACTTGGACACGATTGTCTGAATTAAAAAATAAAACAATAAACAAAAAAACGTTTCCTCAGACCGAAAATCTTTTGGAAGTAATACTTCTGAGAGGAGACATGTTTTTTCAACACAAGTTTGCTGTTGAAAGCGTTTTTGTTTGTGCTGCTCATCACAAAACACTTTTGCAACCGATTCCGTCTTGCAAGTTAAAAAGTAAATGTGATGCTTGTTTGAGCGTAAGAGGAATAATATCTCATGCTAAGCCTGACTTGCGACACATCAGTATATGTCAAGCTATCACGTTATTTGAAGTCTTTCAATTGAAAAACTCATATGGAAGATTGATTTGTCGACAATGTCGTACAGAAGTTTCGAAGAAAACGGAAGTAACAAGAGAAGTACTTCATAACGACGCTTTTGAGTGTCTTTTCGATCCTGAATCAGTATGTTGTAAAGAAGATTTTATGGAAGATAAAGATCTTGATTATCAACTACCATTTGATCCTTCCATAGAGAAAGAAAAACTAAACGAACAAATTATAGCTTTGAACAGTTTTCTTTCTGTGTGTGGTAGTAAAAGAAAAGTAAATGTGACAACATCTTATAAAGATCTATCACATCGTGTTAAATTGAGATATGTAAGTTTAATAAAATTCATAATGCGATCGGCTACATCATTGGTGGCATCGAATGATGCTGACATGCTCATGCATGACTCATTTAGCGATATAAGTAGTGGAGATTCGAATATTGTTTTAGACGGAAATTTTCGTCAAATAATGAGTGGTGTTTCAGAAGCATACAGCAATGCCGAATCGTGGCAATCGAGACGAGAGATTCTCTCAATTGTAGCACCGAAAATATCGTTAAAACTCATGCAGTTGTTCATACCGGGTTTAACTAGTGGCAGATTTTCTGCAGCACGTTTGCACGCTAGAAAATATAGTGCCGGTTCCAGAGTTGAAGTAACAACAAAAGTTGTGCAACGGTTTGATGATCATCAAATCGCTCACTTTGCTGATTTTATTGTTTCACCTCACGTGTGTACAGATTTACCATTTGGTGAGAAAATATTGAAATTGTCTTCTGGAATTGAATTATTCATTCCAAATACGATAAGAAATATGGGACCAATTCGTATTATCGACCAGTATCTTCTTTATTGCAAAGAGATGTGTTCAGATTTTGAACCACTTGGTAAAAGTAGTTTATTTACTATTCTCGATACTTGTAAAGCGTCAACAAGAAAGTCTTTGCAAGGTATCAACTACTTCGCAGCCGAAGCTGGAGAAGCATTCGACGGCATAAGAAAAATGATTGAAGATAAAGACGCTGTTTCTAGTGAAAGTAAACGACTTATTGATAACTTGAAACGCGCTCGATTTTATTTGAAATCTGATTATAAAGTGCACGTAACAAGAGCAAGCAATATTGCTGATCATTGTTGTGCTTATGCATTGAGCGATCCAAAAGGACGCAGTTTTGCTCAAGACTGTGATCATGAACACGATGAATCGTGCATTGAGTGCTTGAATCTGACGAGCACACTGAATGAAATTGAACGATTTATCGAGGAAACAGAAACAGACGAAGAGTTACTCGATCGTGCTATGAAAAAGTTTCAATTGTATCGTGAATCTATCGAAGCATGGAAAGCTCATTTACTAAGATCCATAAATCAAGATTTATGTCGAGAAAATTTAGTTGATAAACTATCTAATGATGAGATTTATCTCAATCTTGATTGGGCCATGAAGTTTCTTCCTATCAAAAGTCGGGAACCACAGTCGGAATTTTTTGGTAAACGAGGCATCAGTTGGCATATTACTGTTGTAATGAAAAATGATGCAACAGTTGAAAACGAGAATAACATTTCCGACGAAGACAATGATGTCTCAGATGATAGTCAGCAAATCAGCGAACAGGAAATGACTGATTTGTCTGGAGAAAACAACGATGATAATATTGTTGCTAATAAGAAAATGAAACATTCTTTCACATATAAAGTTTTTGTACATGTTTTTGATCAGTGTACACAGGATAGTGAGACAGTCGTCGCTATCTTGAATGACGTATTGTGTCGTGTCAAAGAAACTGATCCGCAAATAAAAACTGCATATATCCGTTCGGATAACGCAGGTTGTTATCATTCGGCAAACACACTTGTGTCAGCCAAGCAGATATCGGAAAAGACTGGTATAGTAGTCAAACGATGTGATTTTTGTGATCCACAAGGTGGTAAAGGTCCTTGTGATCGTTGTGCTGCTATTATTAAATCAATTATACGTCGATATTTGAATGAAAATCATAATGTGACAACTGCTTCTGAGTTTGTCGAAGCATGTCATTCATATAAAGGCGTCAAAGGTGTTCATGCATTTGATTGCCGAATTGAAGATAATAAACTGAAAAAGAGTACTAAGTGTACGATCAAACAAATAACGAATTACTATAACTTCGAGTATCAAAGTACAGGTCTTCTAGTACATCGTTCTTGGAATATTGGTTCCGGTCTCTTAATACCGTGGTCACAGTTGAATCGTAATCGAACCATTTATACTTTAACGTTCAGCGAACTAAAGGGTTTTTCTCATGACTGGGTTCAGACAAAAGAGAAATCTAACGATGAACTTATGGACGTGGACGACTGTGTTGCACAGGAGGAGGAATCAGCACAAACCTCTATAGGACAAAAGAACATCTACGAATGTGATGTGGAGGGTTGCAACGCTGCATTTATAAAATTTGGAAATTATCTAAACCACACAGTCATTAATGACCACCCTCGTATAGTTGAAAAGTTTTCGTTGAAAGATACAGCAATGAAAATGTATCATTCGAAATTAGAAGAAGTCGAAAATCGACGAATAATATCTATTGATATGAATTTGACGGAGGCGATTGCTGATGAAACGAATCTTCTTCCAAAAGGTTGGGCTTTACCCATACGCAAACCGAACACAGGATTTTCAGATAAACAGCATGGATATCTTAAAAAAAAATTTGATGAAGGCGTTTCCGGTGTGAAACATTGGAAACCGAAAGAAGTGGTGTTCGATATGGAGACTCTGAAAGAAGACGGCAAGTTTTATTTTGCAGCTAACGAACTTTTACAAGAAAGTCAAATTCGATCATTTTTTTCCCGACTAAAACGCGAAAGGCAGCTGATCCCTACGCGGCAGTCATCAATGGATAACGTAATCATCGAAATCAAACCTGTCAAAAATACTAGTGATGACAATGATGACGAAGTAATTGACTCAGAACTTGAAGAATTAGAGCGAGACTTGAAAGATACTGAGATTGCTATCGAAGAGAATAAAATATTAGAAAGTTTTAGCATAAATGCTAAGAAAGCCCTTGAATCATCTCTTTTGATGAGTGATTCATGCACAACTTCCTCTAAGACATTAAAAACAAAGAAATAAAACATGAAATGGACACCAGTTTACCGGTAAATGTCCACATCATCATAAATAAGCGGGCACGGGTATACCGATTAATGTCCTCATCAATATAAAATAAATGGGCACGGGTTTTCCGAATAATGCCCATTGATAAAGAATAATATTGTTTAAATGAGTGCGGGTTTTCCGAGTAACACTCATAAACAATATGGGGACACGGTTTTTCCGAATAATGTCCCTCCTCTTCAAAGCAGGATGGGCTCTACGTGCCGAAGAGGAGAAACACGGAAAAAGTTTTCTTTGACCGTGGCCAACAATCCTGCCTCTTTTTATCAAGTAAGTAGACAACTATTTAAATAGTACTAGAACTGCCAATGAAGGCTCCATGGACATTGAAGAACTTGTGAAGTGCTTCTCTTTCTTTGCGTGACGTGATGACATTTCAAGCTTAGCTAATCGATCTTACTTTCATAAAATATAATAAGTGTTGATTTTTTATTTTAAATAGAGCACATGCTCATCGAAATACGTTGTGCCTATGTGAAAAATACTCTAGTTGCTTTATAATTTACTCAAACTTCCATTTTTCATGA